GGTTCTATTTAATTTTTTTGTCAAGATTTATTTAGAAGGGTTCAGTGATACATTCATATAAAGTACAAGATGTATAGAATTACTGACACTTTTATACATATATTAATTTAAAGTTATATTCACATAAAAATGACGTTAGAAGTCTATATGCTATTTTGTTTATATTAATTTTTAATTTAAACTCAAATGTTTTCGAGAAATTGACAATATACCAAAAAGGTTTCATTTTAATAGCCTTTATTACTCCAATTATTTAGAATGCTTAGCACACAAACCAGAGTTAAGTGAATGTGGGGAAACGGACAATTATTGTGAAGTTGGAAGCTGTTCAATGCAGCTTGAATATACTGCTGAGAAGACTTATTCATATAAAGCATACGACTACTCTATGAATTAGAGCCACAAGGAGATGAATAAAACTTGATAGCTTAATAGCGGTTGAACTAAATGATGTTTCCACAACCAATTCAGGACTTATTGATTGACAAAAATTATCTTATTGTGTATAAATTTTATTATTGTGACTTCAATATTCCCATAAGGTACATTACATTTTAGGTACATTAACTCGTAGGTGCAACTTGTTAGTCATGTCTCTAATCATTTTATCATTCAATAACAGACATTCCTTTGAAAAATTCCTTATCAATTGCGACCATTAAATATTCGGCGATATTCATTGCTTGTTTTAATTGATAGAAACAAAAATGGGATTAAAAAAAGTTTAATGGTTTCGATGGTAAATAATTTGATCAAAATTTTGAGACATTATCAGTTGATTTATAAAATTGTAGTAAGTGAACAAGGAATTTTTATGATCATTTTAAAAATATTTACTGAATTAACACTCACCTGAATGTTTCAAGAGTTAAAACGGAAAAAAAACATATTAAAGGAAAACCCACGATGAGATAAAAATATTAGACCGAGGATATAAATGTAAAAGACACGATTTGTCTTTCAGATTTGATAAGAGATTGAAATTTTTATTTTCGGTTGGAAATTCACACCTTGATAAAAACATAAAGGTAATACAGGACTTTTGTTTCTTATATTATAATCTAAGTTTCAATTAATCCAGTACTACTCTTTAAATTCTATTATTTGAACTATTATCCCTGTCGTAATTAGTGATATTTTACATTTATTTGTAACAATACTTATTATAATTGAATATCTATTGTATGTATGAAGTGTATTACTTTATAAGGTATAAACAAAAATTAAAGGTATATGACGTAACTTAAAGGTTTAAGTTAAAGTTATCTGTGAGCTGAAGAAGAAGTCTGTCTGATTGAGATACTAAAATTTGGAGAACGATAATTTAGAAGCTTTTTCCAGAAAAAGTGTAATAATTGTTTTTCTGATATATAATATTTTATCCAGAAAGCAAGATTTCTCACTTGAATTCTACTGAGAGAGATTATTTTTACCTTGTGATTATTACACCAGACTTAAGACTGATATTTACTCAAAACAAATCGTCTCACGTGGTATCAACGTAGTTATATAAAACGGGAAACTGTGTGTGTTTAGTTTGACAATACAAACTTCTGGTAAGGCTAAAGATCGTGTGAAAATATTATGATGTTGAACTATTGCTGTTACTGTTAGTATTGGTAATTGAATTAAAACAAATTTATTAAAACATACTTCAATCAAACTACTTTTTTAATTGTTCTTAAGAATATTATTTTATTAATAATTTTTGCATCGGGCTGAGACAGAACTAGGAGGAAGTAAAAGATAGAGAAATGATTAAATATTTGACCTACAGTGAAATTACTTTTTTTCTCTCGTTGGGATTGTCGTGAACTACAAGCCGCCGCGCGCGTATGTGTGAGTGTGTGTGTATACCTAATCTGTAGGGTGTTCACACGATGCGTAATTAATTACATAACTTTTGGTTAACTTTACATAGAAGTTTATTAATATTTATGTTATATTAATTTTTATTTTGTCATATATGATCGTCAAATATCACGTCCTCAAGTATCGATAGTAATTCACCAGTCACCCTGTATATGTATAACATGTTAGTTATAAAATATAAATATACCATTTTTTTATCTTATACATTTTACGAGTTCTCGTGGCTTACCGAAATGCGAATTGTAAGTTATAACGATTTTCATTTGTAAATTATTCCATTTATTATTCAAGGCGACTTGTAAATGTTTCAAGTTAACTGTTATGAGCTCTCTTATCGTAAGTTTAGTCACAGAACATGCGAAATGTCTTCTATTTGTTATCCAATAACCTATGTTAAGATATTGTGTAAAAACGTATAATCACAAACTGGCAACGAATAGTACGTTTTGTGATGTGCAAGTTTTTCGTTGGCGTACTGTTAAGTTAGACTGTATTATTAAGATTACTACGTTTTATTTTAGTAAGTGAAACATCGGGAGTATGTAGTTTTTAAAATAATAAAATGAAGTATAATCCAAATAATATTAGTTTCATTTAAATGAATACTCGCGAAAGTCTCAGATCCCATTGTGTTGTTAAAATGATGCTAACTAACCCTTTTGCTAAGAATATTTACATCCTGCATGATTAAACAATTCTCAAGATATACTTAATGTATATAGTCATAATTATTATAGTATTAAAATTGTTGTGACTGTTCCCAAACAATGATTATAATATTTACAGTTTTTTTCGTTAATTTTATAAAAAATCACATAAGTATAAGGAAAGCCTAATTAAATCTCACTTCCTTCCATGTGCTCGCAGAAATATGAAGTTGTATTTTTAAAAAGTAAATTGGAATCATAAATAAATTTCATCCTAGTTAGTCTAATGTGTACAATATTTATTAATCTATCTATCAAGCGAATATAAGTCTTATTTTATGAATACGTAGGTCTAATTTCGTAGTTTTGTTTTTGAAGAAATAATATTTTTTCATTTAAAACAAAGCAATATGAATATCGTAAATTAGGGCGACCACAATGGCTTGGAATGTGTTGGATTTGTTCCCGAGGATTTTATATTACGAATATAATATTAGGGAATTGTTAAATTATTTATTTTGTCTATAAATTGTAAATCTCAACTTGTTGTATAATGTACATACTATTTTAATTGCTTACTTCCAAGAACCTCACAGACCCATGTTAAAAACTGAGCCCAATATTTTAAAATCACTCATATGAGTACATAGATGCAACATATTGGCATACGGCAAGCGCTTTTACCGAGAGACTTTACTTCTTGGCCGCTATAATGCGACATAAGATAGACGTTCGAAAATATTCTGTGAATTGTATTTGAAGTTTTAATTTCAAAGGAATATCGAAATATTTGACAAGCATATATTGATATGTATCAGCTATTGTTTACAAAGCAAAAAGAAAATGTAAATATAAAGATTTAATAATAATAATCTGAGTTATATATGTTTCATGTATTGAAAATTGGGTGTCAAAGAAAGGTAAATGTGTTTTGAGCTGTGAATGAAAAATGTTGATTCAAGATTTACTCGCTTGCAGACTGAGATTTGTTATTATGTTTAAAGGTAAATCATAATTCAGAAAATATTTTTTTTACTAACAAGTATTTGTATAAAATTCATTTACGAAGTAAAATTATGTCGTCCTTTATATTTTATTTCATATGTTACTTTTAGTAAATAATGGAGAGTCTATAATTTTTTACATTGTGTTTCTAGTAAATGTTAAAATGTTACAAGCACAATGATGGAGATTTATTGTTTATATGTACATATAACTCCAGCAAATTATTAAATATAAGTGTGTAATATATATATACTATATCATTAATTTCATTTATTAGAAGAGAAAACCAAATGCCTATAAATTGTAAAAAACCTATAACAATTTTTACTATTTAAATCTAAAATAAATAGAATAAATCCTGAACTCTAGAATATGTTTATTATATAAACATACTGATCTTTTATTATATTAACATTTAATAACATCAGTCAACATGTTTGCTCCATAGTAACGCGATAGTTGACGCACGCATTATAGATACTCGTCTTAGACCACTTGTAGAGCACTTAGTAGGATGAGTGTGGTTCAAGTAAATGTTTACGTTTTCATACTGAGTTTATGCTTTTATCTTTATTAAGCGATTTCATAGATTTGAGAGTAGCCTTAATTCTATTTTGATTCAAAGTTCATAATACAATATTTATCTTCTTCTACCTAGCAATTTCCCAGCTTTAGCCAGGGTCTGCCTTACATGTTGTGAATAGTTTTGGCTAATTGTTTTTACGACCGGCCGCCTGCCTGACATTAACCCTCTTTGGGAATGCATTAATCAGTGATGTTTAAATACTCTTAGAAAGTACATATGACTCGGAAAAATCACATTGGTACTTGCCAGGATCGAACCCGCGCTCCATGCATGAGAGGCGGGCCTTTTAACACCTAGGCCACCACTTACTTGACAATATTTATATTACTTAGAATCGGCTACGAAGAAGTTGCAAGCCGTGTATTGTATTATGAACTGAATCAGCTTTCATAATCCTTAATACCTATTAGTAGAAAGTAAAGTTCCATCAAAACTTGTACAGTAGTTTTATGCTGACTATATTCCGCGTTTATTCCTTACAAATAAATTTAATTCTTTAAAACTTTTTGCGGTTTTCATTTAAATTATCTTTTTGCCAAAATGTTTTGTCCAACTTGCAATTTCTTAGCCTTGACTCAAAATAATTTCAATCAGTATGTTTTTATACATGCTCTTTTGTGTAAAGTGTCACAGATTTTCTGTTAATCATGACAAAAAAATATACCGGATGTTATTTAATTCGATTTATTGTTATTAGACAATTAATTTCCTTCCTGTTTTTGGTTATAGGAAACGTATTTTTGTTTCGATGAAATGGCTCGTTACTTCCAAGGATTTCACGATTTTTTTTTAGTCAATCATTACAACTATTGAAGTGCATCATGAGGCCTGGTTCATTTGACATCACGCCTTTAATTCGATAACTTGTTTTGCAATAAATATTTAGTAAAATGTTGAGATTCTTTGCATTACATGCTGCTTTGTGCGTGTCTGTGTGTGCGGGTATTTATATAGCTAAGGGTGAGTAACATTGTCATATTGAAATGAATATCATTTTTTATATTATTGTGTTAAATCTTTTATTCAACAGGATTTTTAAATACCTTTTTATTCTCAATATATTTATATACAAGTTTAACGTAATGCTTCATATTATTTATTGACATATTTTTTATGACAATAAATTAAACTTTTAAAAGTCAAATGTTTTATTAGGTATCTTCTTCAAAGTGGCCAACAGTTCTTGATCCCTGCAAGTCAGTTCAGTGATACATTTTCCTTCTGGATAGGCTCGGACGAAGCCTTTGCTAAAAATATCATATTAAGAATTATTTAGGACAAACATCTTTTATTGAAACCTAGTTGATAACGTATATAATTATCTTTATAAAAAATTAAAAGATCCTTGTTGCTCCATTTGTTTTTTATAACATAGGATTTATAAAATAAATGCATTACTTAAGTTATTAAATTATTTTGAAATGCTCAGGCGTGAAGACCCAGTAATTACTAATTACGAAGTTGTTTCATTTGTTGTTCCGTAGGATTTGTGATGTTCTGTATTTATATCTCAGAATTATAAATAAAACCACCAAATTATCAGTAAGTAAATACACAACTCAAGAGAACGTTCTCCCGCCTGCGATGACAGATCGAAGTGCTAGTGACGCGCCACGGTTGATATGTGTACTATATTTTATTATATGTCACAGGATTCATTAACCTCTAATTATTTATCTATGTGTGTATGTATCTACTAAATGAAAAACTATCATACTTGCAAAAACATCCAGATCTACAGTGTGTGAGTCTCTTAGGAGTGGTTTTCACTCGTTTGTTTAGTTCAGGTGTCTCCCAGCAAGTGTACTCCTCGTAGAAAGAACAGGATTTGTGGACCTCATCTTGGGAACATTCTTTCTCTGGATAAAAAACAAAAACTTTACTAGGGCATCTATAGAAATATTTGAATTATAGGCCAAGATTTTCTTTAATTTGCGTATGTAAACTATCAGATATTATCACTGTTATATTTAATTTTATTGATAGTGCATATTTTCCATTCCACCATCACAATGGCGATTTTTTTCGAAGTCTTATATTAGAAAACAAACTTCGTAACGAGGTCGCCCGTTTTTTGTTAGACGAACGTAAAAACATTAATTTTGTTCAAGACCACTGACCGTACACTTCTATAAAAACAGCCCAAGTATTTACTTCAGTAATAATAAAGAAAGATATTATTATACATATATAGGTATATCTCAACATTATTGAATATATCAAACCAAATTACTCACTTAACATCAAACAGTCGTACAAACTCATCAGTACACACAAGTAAATGTAAACAGAAATTGCTTTCATATTACATCTTACAAAACAAACATACATTTGTAATTCAATCGTTGATTAAAATTTAAGCATGAAATTAATTTGACTTCAAACATGCCAATCATGATAACGGCGTTTTATAAAGCGGCCGTTAATGACAATCAATAATTGGCATTTTATTGACGTATATATTTTTTATTCATTTGTATGATTACTTTCAAACCAATAAAAATACAAATGCCAGTGAGTTTAATAGTTTATATCGGAATTTCATTTAACGTATACTAACAAAAATATTTAGTTTGTTTTATCTTCGTAAATAAAGATCATCTCTGTACGAGACTGTTTCTTTTTGTTACTCTTTTTTTATATCATATATTAATCAATAGTTTCATCATTCATTCAACAATTAACCGCCAAAAAAATAATAGATTTTGAACATAGCAAATAATATACAATTAGGAATGTATATTTCTGTTTAGAAAACTGTCCCAACAATGAGGAGTATCTTCTGTGTGGATCTGCCTGTCCAGCGAACTGCTCTGACCCCAGCCCTCAGTGTAATGATGACTGTGTGGAAGGATGCTTCTGTTTATCAGGATACTTGAGAGACGGTAATGGAACCTGCGTCAGTAGTGATACTTGTGGTGAGTCCATGGAAACACACCTTGTTTAAGGACCAATGTTGTTTTGTTTTAAATAATTTCAAGACAATCTTACTAGTGAAATTTAGTTTACAAATAAATATTGTTTTTAGCTAAATCTTTAGTCCAAGTTAAGTCGAAGAAACATTCCAATTAAAACCATTAAGTAAACCAAATAAGTAGATTAAGTCTACAAGCGTTATATAAAGTAGGTTGTTTTAATAAGAGAATAAAAATCTCGCGGCTCTTCAAAAACAACTTTCTAAATCTGTTCTCTTATATCATGTAAAATAAATTATCTGAATCTTCCAGTAACAAATATAACGTGCGGTGTGAATGAGGAATTCCTTCCTTGTGGATCAGCCTGTCCAGCTTCTTGCTCGGTACCAGAACCTGAGATATGTGGACTAACGTGCAGTATGGGCTGCTTCTGTCGTGAAGGTTACTACCGGGATGAGACTAGCCAAAAATGTGTGACCTTGGATAAATGTCCTGCTCGTAAGTATTGCAATTGTCAGGGAACGTCCCAAGATCGAAAGATATTTCTTTAGTAGAAAATATAATTGTAGCATTTCTATGGTTTTTCAGAATTTTGTAATTCATGATCTCATTATTTATTTTAACAAAATCAAATGAATATGTTTATACCTGTTGAGGCCGTAACGATATAAAATTTACTTTATTTCGTATTATTTACAGAAAACTGCTTCAACCAGAATGAGGTTTACGATCTTTGTAACGCTAAATGTGAGCCGACTTGCTCCGAACCGGCGCCTATATGTTCTAAAATTTGCAGTGCTGGCTGCATTTGTGCCCCGGGGTACCTTAGAGGTCCAAATGGAGATTGTGTCAGTGTTAATAATTGCCCAAGTAATGGTACTAATACAGGGGCCTTAGCGAAGTATCTGAACACCATTAGCAAGATTTTACATCTGTCTTACGCATAAATACAAAGTAGTGAAGATATTCTGCCAAGATATTCCTTTTAAATAAATTTAAGCAAGAAATCTGTTGTATTGTTTTAGTAATGTTAACGAAAAACCTATAAAAATATTTAAAGAAATAGTAATAATTATAAGAATAATACTCTTTATTGTATCATCCGAAATAAAACAAAGGCACTAAAAACAGTCTAAAAAGGACTGCTCATAGCTAAAAAACTATGTCGTCAGACCAAATTATCAAAAAAGTTATAAATTTTAAGAAGCAGAACACAGTGTACAACTGACATATGATACATTTTTACATATTTAGTATTGTGTACATAGCTATACATACATATATATCCTTAGTAGTAAGCATATAATTATAAGAAAATAAAATCCTGATGTCCTTATTTTGTATGTTATTTATTTATAACTTAATGCTAATAAGACAAGTATTACAATTAAATAAAACTGGTTTTGAAATCGCCAACTATTGTTTCTTGGGAGGGTTATTATATTCATTACCTGAAATATAAATATTCAATTATGCTTTGTTCATTTATAGGAATACATTATTTTCAGCCTACTAGTTACATCTATGGAATTGTATTGAAACCTTTTGAAGAGAAAGGTTGTCTACTTTAACTTGGTGATACATGTTTCCAAAGTGGTAACATAGATGGCGCTTTAATGAATTTTAAAAACAATATATTTTTGTGTTGCATAGTAAGTCATTATCTTTAATAGAAAATGGAGATGTTTTTCTACTATTGAATGAATTAAGCATAAATTAAAGATATTGATCACCTTTTTGTATTCATCCTCCTTGATTCCATACACCATGTAGGAGAAAGACAGGAATTCCGTGTTGTTGGAGACGAGCTGGAAAACCATATTCTTGGAGCCTGTGTCTCCTCGCACCAGACTGAACGCCACATCGCCATCCGCGTCTGTTGTTGTCGATACTTCCATGTAGGAAATCACGTAATTCTTCTGTAAATATAAAATCAAATATCAATAAGTCAATATAAATATAACTTTCTTTTATCGAGTAAAGTTATAATATACTGTTTCTACTTAAAAATAACTGTGGTTTAAAGAATTTATTACTTGATTATTTATGCTATATTTTAACCTACTTCTACAGTTTCTTTATAAAGCCCAATTCTTGACAAGCACCTGACGTTGATCTTTAGAAGTAACTAATTAAGGTAATTTTTAAACGACTACTTGAAGGATAGCTTGAGAAATATATAAAGTGGGTTTGAAATTATTAAAATGAAATTTACATATATCTGTAGATTTCTTTGAAGTTGTCAGTTTATTCCCAAATGATACAGTAGTACATTAGTATTTGAATATAGAAATAGAAACGTAATAATTGTGCCTGTTTAAATAAAAAAAAATCTCACACACTACTACACTTTTCATTAAAATGTATAAGTATAAACACAAAATCATTTATAACTTCTTTTCTTATGTTATAAATGATCATATCTATACTAATATTATAAAGCTGAAGGGTTTGTTTGTTTGTTTGAAAGCGCTAATCTCCGAAACTACTGGTTCGAATTGGATAATTCTTTTTGTGTTGGATAGTCCAGTTACCGAGGAAGGCTTTAGACTATATAATATCACGCTACGGCCAATAGGAGCAAAGATATAGTGGTAAATGTGTAAAAAACGGGAGAAATTATTTCATCTTTGAAGCCTTCCGTTGCGTGCGCCGTGAAAACAGTTCAAGATAAACAAAAAATATGTAGTAAAGAATAATAGCTCTTTTAATGATCTAAAAAACAGTGCGCGATAGTATATGTCTATCTTTTAAGATTAACTCACAACAACCGTTTTTATGGTACCTAATTTGGTCGAAATAATTTGTTTAAGTTGTATCAACATAATAATATTAATCTTTATTGAAATAAACAAATAAATATGTTGTTGGTTAAGAGTACTTCATTGAGAATAAAAAAAACATAGGTTTTATCCTGAAAATTCTACGGGAACTCGACCATTCCGAAAACCCCGCAAGAACGGGAACTATGTGAGAAGAACCAAAAATCTGCCGGAAGTCACTATTCCACGCGGACGCAGTCGCGGCAAAAGCTAGTGAAGAATATAAGAGATGAAAACATAAAACTGACACTTTGGCCTTTCAAACTCTCGACATACGTTACACATGTTAAGGCGACTGTACGTTGCTTTTGTTATTTTTTTATCAAAAGTGAATGTAAGTGTGTCTTTTGTAAAATAAATCTCAAGAATTCATGAATTTTTATTTAAAATTTCCCGTTTAAATAAGTGGGAATTATGATAATTTAAGTTTTACTTACACTGGAATTGTGGAATATTTTACCAATGTAAACATTTTCATTTAATTTAAGATATTATTGACAGAAATCCCAAACGTGACGATACAGGGTGTAATAAAATTTTCACTTGAGATCAAAATAAACATACGTTACAAATAAACTGAAGTTTTTCTCTTTACTTAATAAATTGGGATGCTGTTTAAAGTCTTCTTCTACCTGGCAATTTCCTAGCTATAGCCAGGGTCTGCCTTACATGATGTGAATAGTTTTTGGCTATTTGTTTTTACGACCGGCCGCCTGCCTGACATCAACCCTCTTTTTGGGAATCAACATTAATCAGTGATGTCTAAATACTCTTAGAAAGTACATATGATTCGGAAAAATCATATTGGTACTTGCCCGGGCCAGGATCGAACCCGCGCCCTCGGCAACGAGAGGCAGGCCTTTAACCACTGGGCCACCACTGACTATGCTGTATAAAGTACTCCATACAAACTAATTTATGTTGTTTATTTCAAAATATTTTATGAGGAAAATATTTTAGTTCAATACTCAAGTACTCTTAGTCAGTATATTATACTTAGTTATAGTCAGTGGTGGTCCAGTGGTTTAAGGGCCCGCCTCTCGTTGCCGAGGGTGCGGGTTCGATCCTGGCCCGGGCAAAGTACCAATATGGTTTTTCTGAGTCTTATGTACTTTCTAAGACTATTTAGACATCACTGATTAATGTTGTTTCCCAAAAGAGGGTTGATGTCAGGCAGGCGGCCGGTTGTAAAAACAAATAGCCTTAACTATACACAACATGTAAGGCAGACCCTGGCTATGGCTGGGAAATTGCCAGGTAGAAGATAGAAGAAGAAGACTCAAGTACTCTTAGTATTTCGGTTTAGAATGAGCCATAGAATTAATGTCAAAATTTTCCTTAACTATCCAATTTAACTAAGAGTGGGTATCACTGTAACAGGTGTTTATAATTTTTACTAAAAAATGTTATAGAAATTAATTTAGAACATACCTTATGACAAAAAATACATAACTAACTTTATAAAGCAAAAGTAAAAGTTGGTTAAACGAGACACTTGAACCAGAAGATTTGTGATTGAAATAAATTATATAATTTAATAGTCAAATAAATAAGCTTAGAGTTTTATTACATTTAACCATTAGTTGTATTTTTCTGTAAGGTAAACTACACAAAGCAATAAGATTACATGGCGTCGTTGTTCCGTGATCGTCAATTTTTTTCATATAAAGGCAAACTGCTATAATATTTCAAATTCTACTTTAAAGCTTTATCTTTTTAAAGTCTGAAGAAAATCTCAAAGAAACATCACTTCCTATGACAGTTTATTTTTGGTATGCAGTAATATTTGTGACGTATTATCTTCATTATACTCACCTTAGCAGACGCGGTAACTGTTACGTAGAATGGATCGTAGTTATTTCTGTGTTTGTATCTGTCTGAACCTCCGGTCATCGGCAGAGAACCTAAAACAGTTAAACAATATTAATGATTGCTACAATTTTATATAAATTTTTGACGAATATTTGCAATTCATTATCTTTAAACGAGTGCTTATATCGGGGGTAGGACTAAGAAAATAAATATTTTAAAATAAAGATATCTTGGTTTGAAAATAATTGATTGTGTATATCTAATTTATTACACACTTCTTGTTTTTAAAGAGAGAGCCAGCCTCGCTGACGTCACTTATGTCACTTCTTCTAGAACGTTAAATGATATTTTAAAATGAAACTTCAATTGTTCTTAATGTTCCTGTATTTTTCGAAGGTTCTTCATAATCACATACTTCAATGATACGCACTCACTGAACTCTCAACTCTGCCTTCGTGCTACCAGACGTCATATTTATAACAAGATTCAAACATAGTTCTATTCTCCTTTTAAACAATCTTTGATTTCGTTTTACTTTTAACAATAATCATGAATACTAATAAGGTTTAATAAGAATTGATGAAAGCCTCAAATTATTTTCATGTCGCATCCGTTATTAAAGTTGATAGCGCCAATATATATATTATGTAAATATGAAAGAAGAAGTTCCTACTGACTATCTGATGACGCATTGTTTTAGTACAAATAGTCATAGGAGTTATCACCTCTAAAAGTAACGGGAATATTGGTGGTTTGTATAGAAAAATTACCACAGTTTTTGATAAAATTTATCATGCTATCAATTTATCATGCTCTTAAAAATGATTTACATATATGAATTCACGTCCTAAAGGCACGAAATAGAGATGAACATTTTGTGCGACATTTATTATCAGAACTCCTAAATATATAACAGAATGCATATTCCCCGCCTCATTGCACTACGTTTTCAGATGTAGTGAAATAAAGAAAACATAGTTTGTTTGGTTAATACGGATATTTTAAAGTTACTTATATTTTATGAGCTCCAAAAACTTAATAATAACAAAAAACGAGAATAATATTATTCACGTTTGATGTATAATGATCGGTACTGAAAAAAAAAACACTATAATACATTATTTGGTACTTTTTGTAGTTTTCAAACAGGTTTTTTACCGACCAGTTCTCTAAAAGTTTTGTATATGTATATTGAGGAGTTTATACGAATATTTAGCCAAATTTAGGTAGTTTGGTCACAGGCGAGTAGAACAAATCTCAGAAAACAGAGTGTATACAAATTACAATTTGTAAGTTTTACCAAACGTAGTTAAAAAGGAGCATAATTCAACTACATAATAGAAAATAGACGGTGACAAATTCATTAATAGCGTAGGGCAGAATGCGTTGTTAAAAACATGTTCGACGACGTTTGAACTATATTTGCGTTTAAATAAACTCTGAACTTGACTGTTTTGAAAATATGAGGAACAACATATCTAAATAAATTAACTAAGCTGGTGTATTGAGACATATCGAAATACTGATTCTGAAATAAAATTGGTTCATTAAGGAAAACTTGTAGAATTTGATAAGAGTTTGCTTGATATTGAGAAAAATCATTAATTGTTGTCAGAAGATTTTAGCCACACGTAACCAGTCTCTGTTCTTATTCCTACAATCAACTGTATTTTGATTCTTAAAAATTTTCATTTCATTTGTCTTATCTAGTCTTTATTTCTGGTTCAATAAAATATTTGTACATATTGATAGTTTTCTAACATATACCCCTTAATAAGTGGAGGCATTTGTAGCTTATTCCGTCTAAACTTTAATACAAATTTCATTTTAACTGCCAGGACCGGGCCACAAACTCTTCTTCCGACAACCGAGCAAAATAAACTCAATCTGGGTCCGATGGTTTTTCGTTTTATAAGTAATAAGTGACTGTTGCTTTTTTGAGTTCAATTTCAACGCTAGGTCAAACGTGATCACAGTTTGTATGCCTCGCTCTCAGTTTTTCGAATATAAGAAACCTATACCCTCCATATTTTCATAAATGTATGGGACATTCTTCCCACGTGACTTTTAAATACTACTACATCCTGTTTGCGGAGCATACACAAAATATTTGTACCTGGAAATATTTGTTAACTAAGAAGTCTTTGTAGTAATTGTATGTATATCTCAGACTCCAAGGAAAATTTTAATGAGATTATGGGTACATGATAAAAAAATTTATATATATTTAGTATCGTATATAACATATAAATATATTTAATGTAAATGGTAAAATATAAATTCTGCAGGCAATATGTGAACGCTATTTACAGAAGAATGCTATCATACGAGATAAATCTTTATCGCGAAGAATCGTGACGATTGAAAATGTATCCTTGACATATATGTACATATGTAATATAAATATACTTGTACTTTTCTTTGTATGTATGGTCTCATCATGTATTTTTCTTTCTTTTGAAGGGAGTAGTTAATTTTTATTAAATTTTTTCAGTTATAGTAAGTATAGATAAGTAAACATGAAAAATATTGAATGCTCCATCAGAAAAAAATCTGTTTTTCTATATTTTCTTTCGACCACACGAGTGAGGCCACGGGACACGTATGTTATAATTTTATGTGTAATAACCAGCCAATCAATCATTACAGCTTTTCATGTTAATTATATAGCAACGTATGGACGAACTGTCATCCAGATAATAATTGGTTAATATCATAATCAATATATATTACATAGAGCAACGACAGATCTCATGCGGCCGATAAATATATAAATAATGAAAGAATAATTTGCTGATTTAAGTTTCAGAGAGAAAAATCGTCATCTTTTTTGTATTTTTGCATTTAATTTCTCACTGTTATATTAAAGACTTGTTTAACTCACAATAAAAAAGTTAAAAATAAATACATACGCTCATATTCAATGCCTACTTTGAAGTGCTTCCTGTCGAATATTTGCGGCGTGGCAGATATTAGCACTGTTAACGATAATAAAAATATAATTTTGTACATTTTGTAACTACTGTTCAATAGACAAACATATACTAATATTGACATACCGCTTGATCTTATCACTTATCCACATCGAGATATGGATGTTGGGCGAGATACTTCACACTCTCGGCGATAAAAAACTCAAAATCAATAATTTTAGTTTAAACTTGCAAATTTTCTTGCTCTTTTAATAATATTATTTATTGATCAAGCTATGTATTTTATTGTGTGAACATTTGAATCTTAAACAAAAACCATACTCGCATAATATCATAATGGAACAGATGTGTCCTATGCATAAATCTTCTGGTAATTGGTCGTCGTTGTCGGCAGCCCGTGAATGTGTTTCAGCTCTTAGTGAGTGCCAATTACGATTAAATGAGGAAGGATGTGAGGGATGGGGTTTATTAGGACGAGAGTTCCTCCCTTAGGGCATCACGCCACAAATAGATTTATATTTTCTGTATTTGATAGTGATCCTATTATTATTGGGCAGTTAGTAGTTACGACACCTCATTCACACAAGTCCATTTGATTCAAATAAGATTTACTGATTTCGTATTATCAGTACGTATTTATTTACAGCTACAACTAGGTTTTCTGAAATATAGTATTACATATTTAAAATGATTAAGAATCTTTGTTACTTTACAGCCAAAATGACGACGGGGAGATGAGATGAAAGTGTATTCTGTCAGTAAGTCTTAATTCTATTCTTAATTTTCTCTCGTATTTTTAGGGATACACTAATAACGAAAGAACCTTGCCTTTAGGTCTTTTAGGATTTATAATTTTCATGAAGGCTCTTACGTGTAAAATATTTACCAGCCATTTTATTTATGAAACTAGAATACTTTTTATGTCAATATCTTTAAGAATCAATTCTGATTTATCTCTTTATTGTAGGGAAAAGGATAATTTTACAGGCTGTAGAATGGAGATGTTCAAAATTGCAATGATTTAAGAACCGGTCTATATTTTGCCATAACATTTTACCTGAAGGTTTTATGATAATTATAAATGCTTAGTAATTAATAAGCAATGATATGGGATACGAGATCAGGTAACTCATAAACATCTGGGTATACAGGGTGACTGGTGAATTACTATCGATACTTGAGGACGTGATATTTGACGATCATATAATGACAAAATAAAAATTAATATAACATAAATATTAATAAACTTCTAAGTAAAGTTAACCAAAAGTTATGTAATTAATTACGCATCGTGTGAACACCCTACAGATTAGGTATACACTCACACACACACATACGCGTGCGGCGGCGTAATGTTGTATCAGCACGCCGCCGCACGCGTCCACACTTGGAACACTTGGAACGTGTCCACACTTTATTTATTTATACGGAAATTTTGTCAAAAATGAAGTGCTTATTTTTTTTACATGATTCGAATAAGTATCATGTACCGAGTATTCCCCTTAAATATTGATAGTAATTCACCAGTTACCCTGTATAAGAAAGGTTCAAAGCTAAGGTAATGCAACAGATCATTCTCGCTGTAGGAAGAAAAAATAAGAAGTTCAGCTGTCAAAAATATTCCATATATTGTATCCATTGTTCATAATAAGATTTTAAGAGTCACGTAGAAAAAATATTATTAGTATAATATATAAACGAGAGTGTATATTCAATTTTAAACATACATACAGCAGCGGTGATAAGTTCGTACTATCTCTTCGCAATCGATGATGACATATTGACAAAAAATCTAAAAAAATTTTGCTTTTGTGATTACACAAGGTTTAATAACAAAAGGTTTTGTTTTTGCTTTTTTGTTTTTGCATGTTTTTCTTTAGAAATATTTCTCACAAATTGTAGTTTTCATGATACGAGATATTTTTGTACAAAACTAAATATGTATTGCTCCATTATTATTAATTTATAAAATTACTGAATTGGGATAGCACTTAAATATATAAATTACGTTTATGATTCCGGTTTTTCAAAGAAAATTTTTGTGTTAATCGATTGTAAAGGTATTTTACTAGTTGGAGTTTATATGACAACGTATAGTGACCTAAATATGTTCTAGATATAGTTTCTGGTAATCTAAAGTCTAGATTCATGAAAAGTATTCAAAATTTTTAATTTGATACAGTAATTTTAAACTTTTCTCTATGAATAAAAACTTAAAGTTTACATGTCTAGATAAGTATCACATATAAACAAAAGCATTTTACGTGTACTCGTGTGTATGTCAATATTTCTGAAATATGTTTAAGAATAGTATAGTGCGTTTGATTTAAGCTGAGCTTTGCATTTGTGTGAGTGCACACGTATAGTGTAGGTGTGATGTCAAATTTTTGAATACCACGTTCTTTCCTAGTTTTGAAGCGGTTTATACTGCTTTTATTCCGCCCCGTACCTTCCGCACTTCACCTTTTGTACTGATAGCAAAATCAAATGTTGACAACGCAATGTCAAGTGAAGAAGAATTTTTCGAAATTTTTATTAAGCAATATTTTTTTTTACATAATATTCATATTATTTCATTCTCTCCTTTTACAAGTTTTGTTTATTTTATAGCACTTATGTTATGTGTTTATTTAAAATATAAATAATACTTAATTCTAAAAGTTTTTTGTCTAACACTACTTTTACTTTCACTCACACAAATGCAAAGCTCAGCTTAAGTCTAACGGACTATATTTGTGACTTTATGTAGAGAAGATATTATCAGGATAAATAATTGAAAACATTTTTTTATATAGCAGTCTGAGCCTTTTTGTTAGTTTCCAAAGAATTTTATAGTAATTAAACAAAATGTAACGTTTGTTTAAAAAGACGCATCAAAGTAGTATGCAGCGTTCATATAAATAGAAAAAAGTGGTAATAACAGTTATTTGCTGCAAATTTTGTTTATAGAAGATGTTTTGATCTGTTACGGTCGCTGATTTGTTAGAATATAAAAACAAGCTTAAAAATAATCCTTTAAACCGTGAAATTAAATTTACACGAGGAAGGAAAATGAATTTTATCACGAAAATATTTTTTTTCTCAAATTCATAATATTTTTTTATGAATATAGCTCCCAGAATATACAATTAAAAATCAAGTATCTGAAGGCATCATTTTGATTAACATTATTATTTCTACATAAAACATGCTCTGTAACTATATTTCCGCTATAAAAATTAATTTTTCATAGATTAAAAAAATAAACTGTAATTTTTGTGATCAAGAACTTACTTAAAGGTCAAAATATATAACAGCCCTTAGGAAAATTAACATATATAGTTGGCATTAATTTTGAACAATTGCTTCAAGCCGTCTGGCTAATCTTTGAACATTATATTTTAAAGAAAAAACCTCATCAAAATAAAATGGGTATTTAATTTGATACGTATAATTTTAGACTGCTTATTCGCATTGTTAAGAGGCAGACATTAATTGAATTTGAGAATGCTTAAAGTAAAACGAGATAGCTTAAATATTGCATTTCTATTTAGTTAAGACTACAATGACACCGAAGTGAACGTAATATAAAATAAGATAACCAACGGGACTCCGTAATGGAAAAGTGTTTAAATAGTTGAAATTGGACCCAACTGTTTCGTTACATAGTCTAAGGATATTTTATTACACTTAAAATAAGTTACGAAAATAGTAACTGCGTTTAAAAAATACAAATATTTAATTTTATTTAAACGTATGATGAAAATGGATGTTGGAAACAGATATCAAAGTATCGGAACTAATAAATGAGAATTTATTAAGTGAGAATTTAGACAGAGATGTCTAAAAAAGAAAAAATAGAGTTTATTGTCAACTAAAACACGATTTAAATGTTCTTGGTTCTGGTTAATGAGAACTTGACGACTTCTTATTGGCATGGACATATACATATAAACATATATGTATATTATATATTTTAACACATATGTTTAGGTGTTAAACCGTGGAATATACATTGAGTGTTAATTCATATATTTAAGATTCCAAGTGTAATTCAGTTCACCTGATTGAAATATACAACCCAATAATATTATATTGATATTACGTTCAATCATTAATGGGCCAATGAGATTAAAACCGAACAATCGTTATGTATCAAATAATTATTATTCTCAAATCACAATATACTGCTCTAAGTGTATAATCAAATTACAATAGTCTCTTAGTTTCGGCGCCGTACTGTCCAAATTAATATTAGTTCCGACTTTGATTTAGTGTTGTAAATACTTTATATTTGGACTCAGTTAACTCTAGATTATTTATAATGAAACTTTGATTATTGTGGATTTAAACCTTCATTATATTAACGATCAGGTATCGCGGTTAGTAATTAAACGTGTTTATTATTAATGAATTAATTTAACAGAGGATTCTGTAACATATTCAAACTATTATATGGGATTTAAATAATTGAGTTCCTGTGCAGGTTTGTTCATCTTTAAAGCAGCAACGTTAATAATTTGGTTGTTGTTTCATTTACTTTTTATTGACGTAAAGACAGTATAATTTAATACGTTATACTATTTTGTCTTGAAACAATTTGAGTACATTGTTGTGTTGTTGTAATTTTAAAGCAAATTTCTTTAATCGGATACATTTGCGATTTAATTATATACCTGGGTATATAATAATTAACTCTAGATATTAGGATTGTGTTGGAATATATTTCTGACTTCTTAAACGGTTCACATGACGAATTCTTTTAACATGACCACTTTGTTAAATTATGGTCAATTGTTATGTTATATCATAACAAAATAAAAAGTAAGCAAGCAATGCAAACAAGCCTTGGTTTTATAAGAGATGTTATTACACATTTTCTAATATACACATTATGCTAAACTATCACAATATTTCTAGAAACGTGACCACGCGTTTAATACTTTTAGTGTTTTGAGAGATCGAATTATAATAAAAATAGTCATCATGTTTGTTGATTAATTTATTAATTAGGATACGATTAGATTTCAATGTAGAGTTTTTTCTCATATGTTTTAGAAAAGTGTAGGGTCGGTTGGTATATGTAGTTCAAACAATATT